GAAAGAGTAGGAATTGCAGAATAGTCTTGGCTGAAAAAGACCTCTGGGTGTAGTCCTGTCCAGCCCTCTGCTCACAGCAGGCCCCCACAGCTTGGGTCACTGGGGGCCATATTCATGTGAGTTTTGGCTGTGTGCAAGGATGGAGATTGTACAGCCTTTCTGGACAGCCTGTTCTGGTGCTTAGTCACTTCATTGTTTAAAAAAAACCAAACCTTTACCTAATTTTTTTCCCCTGCATTACAAGATGTTTGTTGACTTTAGTCTTAATCACCGTGCACTTTTCAGAAGAGTCTGTCCCTCTCTTTTCTGTCTTCCCAGTAGATAGCTGCAAACAGCCGTAAGATCTCCACTGAGTCTCCTTCAGCCTGAAACGTGGTTAATGCAAACTGCGCTGCATTAGGGAAGGACCCTCAGTATTCGGAGCCTGGCTCTTTCCCAGGAGCATATGAAAGAAGCAGTACCTAAACAGGTTTGACTTCACCGATTGATCCAGCCCACTGATTCACAGTTTGAATTCACTGATTGAACTGTGTGTCGTGGCGTGTGAATACCTCCAGTTCCTGCAGACTGCTGCCTGCTGAAGCTCCCTGAAACCTCAGGGCTGGTTCTTCAGCAGGGAACTGGGCTGGAAACCACGCAGAGCTCGGCCCTGACCAGGGACAGGCGCTTGTGGTTGTGTGTGCCTATCTGCATTCATCTTCTCGCTTCAGTGGGTTCTGTGCTCAAACAAAACCAAAAGTAAATATGCCATTTTAAATGGCGTATTGTGTAGATTGGTGTTGGCTATGTCTGAAGTCTAATGTTTTTTTTATTATCAGTAGTGATTTGTTTTAAAAGGGAAAAAATATTCCCAGCTTTTTAATGCTTCATTTCCAGTAAGATGTTCTTTGTGTACCAGCTCCGTGATCAGCATTGTACACACGACACTGGCATAAATGCTTTCTCTGTTAAAAGTGAGAATGCAGGTCATGCATACACGGCATTAAGTATTAATTTTTGAGATTATCCTTCCTGAGGGTCTTTGAGCAATGATGTAAACTTGCCCTTGCAACAGTTACTGCAAACCCAAACTTTGAAAGTAAGGCTCTTCTCAAATTTTGAAGTATTTGTAGCCCATTTCTAGCTTTTTTTCCCCTCTTGTGACAGTCTTGCAGTAAAATACAGTGCTGGATTAGTGGCCCTAGAGGTTTCTTTTTTGAAAAGGTAAAATGTCCTTAAGCAGTCAGATAAATATTTGCTCTGTTGATCCAGGTTCTTCATAAACCCTTTACCAGTGAGACCTTGTGGTGCAGAAGTAACATGGAGTTTGCGTACTGATTCTTCTTTATCTGACCCTAGGATCCAGCATCCATCCCTTCACTTGCTTCCAAATAAGCAACAGAGCTATACTGAATTTATGCTTGTGTTAACAGCCTAGAAGTAAGTCTAGAGTATCCCACTAGGTTTGTCCATTGAGCAATTCCAGGTCTTTCTGGTTTTGTTCTGCAGCTGCAACTCTGATGTTCTGGAAATGGTTGAAATCAAGTATCTAGACAGAGTTTATAGAGGATGCCTTGGCCTTCCGTGTAACACCTAATGGCCGGCAGCTTAGAAGGGCATCCTTTCTGAAGCCATAAATCAGGCTGTTCAATCTGCCTGAAAAGTGCTTGGGTTTTTATGATTTTTGGGACATTGGGGGCTGACTAAATATATAATCATAGAATCATTAAGGTTGGAAAAGACCCTTAAGATCATCGAGTCCAACTGTTAACCAAGCACTGCCAAGTCCATCTATACCATGTCCTCGAGCACCGCATCTATCCGTTCTTTAAATACCTCCA